GTACTCAAGATAGTCATGGAGGTGAAGGAAGTTAATATACATTATTCCATTCCAAAGTTATTTTCCTAATATAAAACGACTCACGAGAGAACAATGCACTATTGTAAGAAATGATAATAATTAATGTAGATATTTGGATCTTATTTGAATTGTCAATATTAAAAAATAGATGTATATGATCATCATGTGACTAATAACTAACTTTTAATTTTATCTGTTCATGATTGGTAGTAAGGTATGTGGTTCTAGAATATATAAGCATGTGTTACTTTCAAATGCATGTTCGATACACAGAATCCGAATATATACACTCAATAATGTTAATGCCACCAATCACTATTAGCTATAGAAGCATAAGAGAGAACGAAATGGCATCTTCTTTCAGGTTTTTGTTCTTCACATTCTCTTTATCATATTCGCATGGTCCCATGACTCCCCTCCTTCTACCTTTGTATTAAAGTGTAGCCATATTTGGTCATGGCCAATGCCAAACCATACCAAAAGATCAAAATTTCCTTCCTTTAAAACTTTTTTTCTCTTTTCTATTTGTTTCATCGAATGACTAAAGAAACAAGTTTACTTTGGATCATTAACATGATTGAAGGAATAGAATGACAAGCTTTTAAAAACAAATGAGGTTATATTGCAACTTGGCAACCAACCATAGTGCATGGACCCTAGTGAATTGGCAAAATTTGCAACCTAAGAGGACCACATAAGAAAGTTGATGCACCAACTGATTGAGCCTTTTCTTTTTTCAAGACAGACACTTAGTGTCATCCCATTACAGTTTTTTATTTTGTATGGTGCATCTGGGGATTGAAATTTGTTTACAATATCTCATTGATGTGACCAGGTCACCAGGATTCGTCCCAACCTAAGTGAACAGCAAAATTGTTCAGCACCATGTCTAATGAGACTTTTAAATTATGAGTTTATAGTAACCGTAAAAATTTATATACAATCAGTATGTTATTAATTACTTATTTGTAATATTTTTTGAAGAGTCAATGATGATTAAACATGAATGGTCGATAATGTAATTATAGTATATCAACCTCATATACAGTACATACCATTTTCTCTTAAATTATTACAATGTGGTTTTGCAATCTTTATTTCATTTGTAAAAAAAAGTTTCGTTGCTTAAGCCATCAAACATAAAGTTAGAATTTCATAAATTTATTAGGAGTCTTTTCAATTCCCTTCTTCCTTTCTAAGACCTCCCAGGCTCCTATAAATCACCCCTTAGACCAAATTTTCTTTACTATTATCATAATAGTTATTATATATGCAATATAATTATGATAGTAACTACGAAATTTCTAATATATAGAAAGTTCTATTAGTCTAAAATGTATTAAATCCTACGTAATTGCAAAAGGCTAAAATATTAATAAACTATTTATAATAGAATTTAGCTCCTCAAAAGTTGAAGGTGATTTTTAGATGTTATCCTATTTTATGTCAAAATTATATGTCACTCTTCATTAGCTGATTGAATTAAATAATTAATAATTAAATTGAGGAATATATATCAATAAATAATTTAAAGTGATAATAGAAATAGAACGCCACTATCTAAAGCAAGAGGAATTGAAAGATTTAATCGGATGAGAAAGTGTATTCTTTGAGAGCTTTAATTTATTCAGTGCCAAACTTTTAGGTTTGTTAGCATCATTTCACTTGAGACTAATGATTAAAGAAATGCTCGAATTTCTCAAATTATAGAGATTAATAATTTAATGAAGGCCACATATCCAACAAGAGTGTAAATGGTAAGTTTAATACTAGGTAGAAATATAGACATGTAATACAAAGTTTTTTTAAGGGTCAAAATTATTAACTATTTTTTAATTAAATAAATATAAAACTTATTAAAAGTTCCCCTTCACACATTTCTATATTAGATAGTCCAATGAGGAAGATCGAGCAAATTGAATAGAATTTTTGTCTTCACCAAACTTTTATTAATGATGATTATTGATGATAAGCACCAAATGCCTAAATATAAATATTCCCTCCATTTCAAAAAAAATTATGTTTAAAGTTATGTATACATTTACAAAAATGTGTATTAATTTTTAAAATATGAAAATATATAAAATAAAATAAAAAAATATCAATTTTTTTAAAGGAATGAAATATCTAAGTCATTCTATTTACCCTACTTAATAAATGTGCAAGGAAGGATCCAATGTGACAGCCACATATACTATAGTCTTATTATAAAGTATACTCAACTAATGTTATGGATTTAGAATAAAAATGAGTTGAGGGAAAGGAGAAAAGAAAGAAAAACAAAGGAAACAACCCTAAATACTATGCATGTGAAGGGTCCGTAGAACCCTAATTCCTTGGCAAACTGTCCATATCTCACTTACCAGAATGAAAGACGTGGGGTTCAATAACAATGTAACAAGGGGTAGGGTATAGTCTATATATAGAGAGAGGACGTGGGGTAGGAGGTTGGAGGTGCCAGCACTAATTGAATTGTCCTTTGTGGGATACCCTACTAATTGAGGCCATGTGACATTCAAAATCCATGTGCTTGTGAGTAAAACAAACAAGCTTTGTATCTCAGTTTGAACCTCCTACTCCTTCCTACCTTTGCTTCATAAATAAATCAACTCAAATTCCCTACTACTCATAATGATTAATGGGCTCCATTTACCATGTTTGTCACATCCAGCCAGTTTGGGGGGTTTTTTCTTTCCCTTTTCTTTTCACACATATATCTTTAATATTAAGAATTGAGTTTACTAGTTTCCCAAGGACATTATTTACAGAACAAAGAATAAGGAAATTTATATTACAAACCTAAGTTGGGCACTTTTTGATATATTAAAACATTAATTTTCAAGAGAACGTATATATCTTATGGTTGAAGTCAAGAAAAATTACTACAAATAGATAGAATTTTTTATATATACAAGTTTATCACATCTTCTAGAGAAAATCCAATAATCAAAACTTTGCCAGAATGACTATGAGCAAAAGACTTAAGGAAACGTGTCAACCCTTATTTACATAAATGATAGGTTTAAGAAAATGTTTAAGCATCAAAATTCTGTGTACGTGTATCATTTTTAGATCAAGAATAAATATTCATAATTAGTGATAAGGCTATATATTATTTGTGATGATGAAAAATGGTAACTAGTTATTACTAAGTTATGATCCATGTGAAAGTTTTGTGCAAATTTAATAGTGTTTGAAACTTTGAATAGCAAAACTAATAAGGAAAAGGAAGTAAAACATGCAATTTGTGACTCCATCGGCACAAAAAACAAAATCCAACTTGTTTATACAGATACTTTCTTGGCTATATATATCGATCTTTACAGTGAATTTTACTGGTCATTGTCATTGCGGTGTTATTACTGGTAGCTTGCCATTACTTCTTGTTTTTCTCCATAAAACTTCATGACATGCATACACATGCATGCACATTATAGGCAAACAATATTTATATTAAGAGTAATGTTATATCCTCCTATTAAATTCTCTTACCCACAAAAAAGTGACATATGTCATAAAGTGATACTTTATTTATTAATGATTGGTTTACGAGTGACATATGTCATTTCCTTGTGGGTAGGAGGATTAGTAGGAGAATTTAGTAGGGGATATAACATTTTCCTTATATTAATATTTCCTACTTCCTATAACTGTTAATTATAAATATTGCATACTATAGTTTTCTCTTTGTTAATTATATTATATAGTTTATTTTCTTCTTCCTTTTTCGAAATTAAAGAAGAGTTCAGAGCTCGCGGAAGTTGTGGTCCATGATTGGCTTCAAACATTGAATAACAAGATATAGAGAAGGGGTAGTTAGCCAGAGGGACCACTAAACCAATTCTTTAAAATGACATAATTACTTCAACTTCAATTCCCTGTTGAAAGAGAAATTGCTACAGCTAGAAAAAAATGAAAAAGGAAGAAGATCGATCCACAAACAAAACTCATTCATATGATGTCAGCAAACGTCTTATATTGTATTATATGTTTTGAAAAGAAAAAAAATCAACCCACCTTGGCTTCTTCAATTATAACAGTGGTCGGCACATCAAAACAATCATGATTTGAACCCAAACGTTAATGTTTGATGATAAGTAAGTTTATCATTTCAACTAACTGATCTTAATTACTATAGCCACCTTTTTTATTCTACACACAAATTAAAGAGCACATACATAACTACGGTTAATAGTTTATTTGGTGGTAGGGTCTACTAAGCATCACAAATGGGTCCATTATGGTCTATGGTCATTTTTTGCTTCATTAGTGTGGACAAGATCTAGCACGATGTATCATAATCTGGAGCCCTCAACTGATAGATGCAAGCGCAAATTCACTTACGATATATGAGTTGGCTGCAATTATCTCTAATGGCTTGGAACAGTTACGTTTGATTATTTTAATTATGTGTAGTATCATTGTACAAAGAAAATAAGGAAATTGGTTACATTTGCAGTATTTACAAGCTAAGTAGGAATATAAATGAGCGTTATTAGTGAATTATTTGAGGTCGGCTTGTTAAATATGCTATCAAGCTTGTTTGCTTAGCTAAACGAATAAGTTTAACGGTTTAAGCTTGAAGTTAGATCCAATTATTTAGATAAGTCAAACCAATGTTGTCCTTTATATAAATGATCCTTTTGCATAAATGTTAGCACAATACCTCAGTCTCAATCGTATAACCAAGCTTGAAAATTAGAATGTGCTACTGAGATTGCTGCATTGGAGGAAAATAATACTTTATAAAGTTAAATACTATGTCAACGGGGCCACAGAGAGATACATAGTCATCTTGTTTTTGTGTGGCAAATGTGACTACTCTCATAAAAGATTGATTCATTTCTCATAAGCCATATCGACCACAAAGTAGCAAATTATTATATTCTCCACCATTTTCTAAGCTTTGATGGTTTACAAATTAACTCATGCAACACCACTATATCAGAAATAATACAGTTGGTAAATCAAGAGTAATTTTAAGCCGAAAATAAAAACATTTTCAGACTAATACACAAGAGGATGATCAACTACTCAAGATGAACCCTGCAAAAATACACTTAGACTCTTCTTCATTGACAACATTCCTTTTAAGGAGTTCCTCCTTTGTGGCATGATCTCTCTAGCACTTGTTAAGAAGATTGTCCTAATTGACCCGTATCCACATGAGCCAAATAAGCTGATTTAACAATATAAGTTCCAAAAGTATCTAAAACCCACATCCATTTGTGAGGAACATCTCGTCTGTAATGATGGTGATTGATCAAATCATACAACTGAGCATTGAATCCTCCTCTCAAGTCAAAAGCGGTCTCCTCCAAATGACACACCAACTCCAAGACTCATTAGACCAAGACCCATAATCAGAAACTATAGCATGTATGTTCTTAGCTAGTAAGAATAATCTCGGAAACAAGTTTTTAAGACATTGATTCTCAATCCACGCATCATACTAGAAAAAAGTCATAGAATCATCACCAATTTCCTTCCACACGTGAGCATTATTGTATTATATGTTTTTGTGTCTTACTTGGCTCTTCTCTTGTTTCTTAGAAATCTAAGAAGTGGATCACTCTTTCTATATCCTCCTCAGAAGTTGCATATCGGATTTTGGGTTATTTACATCATGTTTATTGTGATGATCATTTTGCCATATACTTCGCACAGAGTCCTACTTTTTGTGAAAGGACCAAACATGTGAAAATAGATTATCATATCTATTAGATCAGAGCATAACCGGGGAGCTTCCAACCATTAGGGAGTTCCATTGTTACCGGAGTATAGGAAGAGTAGAAAGACACAAGTGAGACATCACGTCTTGAACCAAAACCTTAAGACATTAGTTTCATGTGTCTTTTCAAATTATAAAGTCTTTCATTTCTTCTCTCATATCTATTGTGGTACTTCACACTTGAATAAACTCAACAATTTCCCCCTCAAGTGTGGGTACCACACACTTAACGGTCCGCTCCCTTTAAGTTCGTCATGTCCTAGTCGAACTATCGGCTCTGATACTACTCGTTGGACCAGACCATAATCGGGAAGCCTTCAACTACTAGGGAGTTTCATTGTTATCGGATATGAAGAGTGAAGAGACACAAGTGAGATATCACGTATTGAACCAAAAACTTAAAGCATTAGTTTCATTGACCTTTTTCAATTATAAAGTCTTTCACTCATCCCCTCAAGTATGGGTACGTACCGCACACTTTTTGGCCCGCTCCCCTTAAGTCCACCATGTCTGAGTCGAACCATCGGCTCTGATACCACTTGTTGGACTAGACCACAACCGGGAAGCCTCCAACCACAAGAGATTTCCATTGTTATCGAGGTATGGGAAGAGTGAAGAGACACAAATGATATATTATGTCTTGAACCAAAACCTTAAAGTATTAGTTTCATGAGTCTTTTCCACTTATAAAGTTTTTCACTCATCCCTTCATAATCAATGTGAAACTTCACACTTGAATAAACCTAACAATATCACTAGAAAATCAATATTTTCCTCATTCATTTACTCCATATACACACTTCCACTCAATTAGTTCAAAATACATCTACATCCACCTTTTCTTTCATGTATGGATACCCATGGTCCAACGTGAGGAAGTATGTTAGTATACATATCAGCTCATTTTATAGTTAGTTGCAGTTAGTTATAAGCAGGTGATGTGGTGGGAAGAGGTGGTTTGATAGCTAATTAACTAGATGAGAGCATATTGTATAAGTACCAATTGTAATCTTCATTTCCAATCTAATGAGAATATCAATTATCATCCACTGAGAATATCAATTATCATCCATTGAAAAACTATTTTATGCGTATATAATGTTGTGTAATAAAGTTTAATGATTTATAATGTATCCTGAAATAAGTATGATTAGAGTTTTTTGTGTGTGTGAGTGGAACATGGATTGAACCATAGACCATCATTTAAGTAAAGAAAACAATTTTATATATAGCTCGAAGAGAATTTCCAATAATGGATACATGAGCCATTGTCGGTTAAAATTTCTTTCTGTGTCTCGATTGTTAGGGAATGAGGTCTATATCTCAATGAAAAGTATAATTGTGTTGAAATGTGCCACAACTTTTTAGAGACTTCTGTATAAATGTGACATATTTTAGATTTTTTTCTAGAGACTTTTATAAGAATGTGGCAATACATAATATTTAGTTTATATCTAGAGAGTTCTAGATAAATCACATTATGATAGATATAACATGTATGGTCTAGAACCTTCATGAGATTCTTGATATGTTGACAATATTCCTATAAATAGGACTTATGATGTTCATTGTAAGATGTAGGGTAATGAAGAGTGTTGTACTAGGTATGAAAATCTATGTCTTTCAACCCACCAAAGTACCCCTCCAATTATTGATCAATCAAATATATGTTTTGTTTATCTAACACAATCTCCTCCTATGCTCAATTAATACTTCTATCAACCACTAAAACCTAACAAGTGGTATCAGAGCTACGTTCAATCATTTACTGGGCGTAGTTACTAACAATACTAAACTACTTCTAAAGTTTTCTAGAGCCAAAATAGACTCAACCCAACTATTATTTATTTTTTTCTAAGTGCTTCAGATTTGTGGCCTCTAAGACTCAAGCTTATATAAGGAGCACAAGCTCATGCAATGACATGTGGCCTCTGAGGCTCTACTTGAGTACAAGCCCGAAAAGAAGATCAGAAGTACAATATGAAGTAGACTTAAGCTTATATAAGGAGCACAAGCCCATGCAATGACATGTGGCCTCTGAGGCTCTACTTGAGTACAAGCTTGAAAAGAAGATCAGAAGTACAATATGGAGTTCCTATCAAAAGTCTCTAACAAGACCGACAAGGATACTAGCACACAACTCAAGCTTATATAAGGAGTACAAGCCCATGCAATGACATGTGGTCTCTGAGGCTCTACTTGAGTACAAGCTCAAAAGAAGATTGGAAGTACAATATGAAGTTCTTGTCAAAAGTCTCTAACAAATGACAATAACATACTATTCAAGAGCCAACAAGAGTCCTTATCAAAAATCATGTAACAAGGCAAGCAAGGAGACTCATCACTTCAAATATAAAAGAATATAGAAGTTCTAATTTGGAGTTCAACAATATCATTTGAACGTCAATGCAGGAGGAGAGGCCGATAAAAATGTTGCAAAGAATTATAAGATAGTTCTAGAAAATTGTGTCAATGAGGAGTGTTGAAATGTGCCACAACTTTCTAGAGACTTGTATATAAATGTGACATATTTTATATTTTTTTCTAGAGACTTCTATAAGAATGTGGAATACATAATATTTAGCTTATGTCTAGAAAGTTCTAGATAAATCACATTATGATAGATATAACATGTATGGTCTAGAACCTTCATTAGATTCTTGATATGTTGACAATATTCTTATAAATAGGACTTATGGGGTTAAATGTAAAGTGTGTGGTAGTGAATGATGTTCTTCTATATATGAAAATTTAGGCCCTTCAACCCACCAAAGTACTCCTCCAACTATTGATCAATCAAATATATGTTTTTAGCTATGATCTATCTCCTCCTATGCTCAACTAACATTTCTATATCCCAACAAATTGTGAGAAACATTTTCTGATGATTCTGCAAACCAAAATAATTTATCCATGGAAATTTTGAAATCAACCAAAATGGTGATGGAAAGAGAGTCTGTGTTGTTGAGTAATTATTGGATCTAGGACCACGTACAATATCGTCCATATACATAATTTTCCTCAAGTTGGGTTGAGTAAAACAATAATAAATGACAAAACTCTTACCAATAAACTGAATCACTCATTATTATTATACATTAGCCCTAATATAGTAAAAAAAAGATTGTATATGCCTAAATATCAATTAGTGGAGTTGTGTAATATGAGGTGTCAACCTCAACAACTACATTCTTTCTCTCCACTGTAGTAAAACTTTCCATGTAGAAAATATTAATTTGAGTTCCCATAATAAAACATATTCAGCTAAGAATATTTCCTTTGTCCATAATATACATATATATAAGGACTAGTTCTCCTTGAAAACCTCACCTTCAAAGCAGCAAAACTCAGAGCCATCCACTTTCCCTCACACAGTACAGCCACAGAAGGAGAGAACACTTTACTTCTGAACCTTTGAAGAATTAAGAAGGCAAATTAAAGCTTGGTTTATATTCCACTGCCACTGGAGGAGGCATCCAAAGGGATCGCATTGATCCCAAATTTCAGTCTTGATTAAATTTCTCTTTCCCTTCTCAAAATATTTGGGATCATGCTATCCCTTTGGATTCCTCCTTTGGTGGCTTCTACTATGATGACATCCTCTAACTGCAACATCAAAAAATATCAGATACGTCCATCTCTTTATGCATTCTGTAGCTGAAACAAATCATGGCATATATGATTTCTGTAAGTCCTTATATACCTTGTTAACCCTCTTGCATTTGGCAATTCCCTTATTCTTTTCTATCCCTCCATCAATTCATTCTTTTAAAGTACAGTTACGGTGCGTTTGTTACAATAATTGTTTGTAGGAAAATAATTTTATAGTCATGGATGTGGTTATGACTTATGAAGACAACTAAAATCACAATACTGTAGTCTCATAATTATGGTTGTATATCATATTTTAAAACCATGGATCTATTGATGCAATCTACTTAGCTTTTTCCTATAATACAACCATATATCAAGTTCTTAAGTCCTGGGTGGCTGGATCTACCGAGGTAAAGTATTCTAGATGAAAGTGCTATCTCATTAGGTATTTTTTTCATCATATAGATATTACATGCATATTTTACCAAAGTACTTTACCATGAATGTCAGTACATATGTTTCAGACGTCAGAGTGAGTTCAGCATCTAGAGTTGAGCACCAACGTACCTTAAAATCAGAAGTCAGAACATGCTACTTATTATGTTCCAGCTTTATAAGGTTAACTAGATAGATATAGAGGGGTTAACATCATATTTTGTTTTTTGTATTACCAATGTATTCATCACCTTATGGGTAAAGGACAAATCATTTTCGAGGTCTGTAATTGTCCTTCCCAACAAAACAAGTATCGCTCACAGGAATCTAACTATTGATCATTTTGCTTTATGTACACAATTTTTTCATCGATCAACAAGTTAATTTCTTGTTATTTGTGTTTTGACCAATAACAAAATTGTTTTGATCCCATATGAAAGCATCCTTTGTTCCCCCAATGCATTAAGACTAAGATCCTTTCCACGTATAAGTTATATACCCTGGGAGGATAGGTTATGCTACTAATGAGTTTTTCCCCCTCCAGAAACTGTATGATCTTTAATGTTTTGGTAGTTTTCTAAAAAAAGAGTTACAACTTTTTCTGAGAAAAATAGTGGCGAGTTGTTGGTATAATGTATGAGATTAATTAACTCTTCCTCTCATATTTTCTTTCCGTAAGTATCCTATTCTCTAGCTTCTACATTCAACATCAACCTTCAACCACTCAACAAATTAATATACTCGAACAAAAAATAAGTTTAGCATAGACGTTGCAAATATATATATATGTGTGAGAGAAAATAATTATGAATAATTAAGAAACAATTCATACTTTAGTAAGTGGCTTTGTTGATTTTTAATCAAGACTCCTCTCCATTAATGGAATGGAGGGACAAATACCCAAAAAATTAAAGAAATCGAAAGATGTATTATCAAAAAATTGATTTGTCTCTCCATTAATGAAGAGAAGTCCTACTCGTCTATTATATGTTTAGAAAAAGAATGAAAGAGAAGAACAAAAACAAAACATAATTAAATTAATACAATAAAAAATGGAAGCAAGATAAGTATCAATTTGTAGTAGGAATAAAACAGTGACCCTTCATTCATGAGAAGACAATAATTCCATACATTTTTTTACTTATCATTTCTATCCCATTTGGAAGCTTTTTTTTTTATAAACCCCATTTGGAAGCTATCTATCAATACATATAAACAACAAATTGATGTCATCTTTTCATAAAGAATCTTTTGAAAAAATTTCCATTGAAAATGATCATTTTCAGCACAACAGCTAACTGGACAAACCCCACTCATATTTTTCTGGCCACACTTAAAATTTCATGTGTAGACATGTTCTTCTGCTGAACCAACCAGACACCAGTTTTCCATTGTAAATGAGTGCTTGAATAGGCTTTATTGTTACACACAAGCACATCACTTCTTTGGTGGCCCTGAGTCAATTTTACTTGAAAACAAATGCTTTTGTGGACTTTAATTAGAATCCAAGGCAGTGAAAGTTGTTTATTGTAAGTGGTTCTTTATTAACTCTTTGAGCCTCACACTTAGTGTTCCATATGAAATGGAATCATACACATGTGCTGTCAGTGCTGAGAGCCTAAGAATTTAAAATAGACTTTTGTAACATTGCTATATCTTTCTTTTGAATAAAGGGTCTTTTTTTGGCTAAACCTTCGTATTCTTATCACATGATCACTCCCAAGTCCCAACGTTCAAACATTCCTCATTATCTCTTTTGTCACATGGTTCCAACTCCCCCCTCTTGTTTAAAGAATTAGCTTTTAACTCACTTTATCAACTACCCAATATTATTTTCTCTCTCGATTCATTATTCTTCTTCTTACTCTCCAATAAGCCACACTCCATGGACATAAGCTTTATTCTCATTCTTTAATGAATGTATAAAAATACTCTTTTTCTTAACTTTTAAAAACCTAATGTTGTTTGGTTTACATGTATAATTCTTATATGAAATCTAGAATTATAAAGTACTTTTTTTTTGTTCCTCATTTTTTACATTTGTACACTTTTGGTTCCTCATTTCTTTCACTTGTTTCCTACAAGAATGATCCTTCTTGGCAATGGAATATTTACAATTTGTATTGCCAAGGAGGTTTGATTTTAATTTCATTATTTTTCTTCTTATTTCACATATTTTTGTTAGTTATATACTATTTTCTTCTATTATTGACCAGGAACAGTACATTCTTATCTTTCATTCTTGGTCATGCTTTTTTTGTGCTAGATATAATAAAAATGAATTATGTTAACTATAATTTTCATTATTTTTATTCCTATTATAATAGTAATATAACATAACATAGTTAATATATTTTTCATGCTATGTTGATTTTCTTGTAACTTTCTAATTTTGCTAATCGTTATAATTTTATTTATTAGATGGATTTCATTATTTCAATATATACAAGTTTTGTATTGCATTTAATTTAATACTATTTTTTTAATAACTTAATTTAGATGAAGAATTCACCATAAGATGGACAAGTCTAAGATGCTGTTGAGAGTTGGAGCAGTTGATGCAACCAAAACAAAAATCACATATTTGAAGAACAGGAAAATGGGTAATTGGACATGAAAACTGAACCCTCTGGAGGGTAGGTTAAGTTAATTAGCCTATGGAGCACTATTAAATTGAGGTAGGAAACAAACAAAGAATGCTGGTATTGGTTTCTTTCTATCTAGCTACAGTTAAAATTAATCTATGGAAGGAGATGCGTAGTATATATATATATATATATATATATATAAGAATGTGTGGCTTGGTAAATAAGGGCATGGTGATGGTTAGGGTAGCTATGGCTAGAGTGGTCCAGCTACTGTACACTCCATAAGTGACCACGACAATGTCTTTAGTGGGATCACAGTACTGTCAATATTGGCGCTGTGGGCATTGGTGATAATAGAAGCTTACATTGAAGGAATTATTGATGTCATAGTTGAAGCTTAATTAATCTTCTTTTTTAAATGGTTTAGTATATCATAAATGCTAGGTATATATAGAAGTGTAAATCAGTTGGTATAATATAATTAACCGTTTTTATAGGTAACTTTTTGGGACATAATATAATTAATAGTTAACCAATATATTTATAAATAAGTGTAAAGCAACAATACCAAGGGATAGATGTAGACATATCTATCATGGAGGAGCGTTAATATACTACAAATTTCTATAATGAAGTCGATAAACTAGTAATTACTCCCTCATAATATTGGTCTGTAAATTAGATTATATATTAATCTCCATCAATCAATAGATGTAATACTCTTGTACATTCTTCTTTATGTGTGTTCCACAACAAATCATTCTTTCTATTCTGTTTTGCTTCTACGATAAGTTAAATTGTTACAACATTAAACAAAAACAAAATGATACATACATTCAAATTTCTATTTTGGCATGAAGATGATAAAATAGTAAAGACGAATTCGGAAAACGTTTGAGAGAGAAAAATGAAAAGATGGAATTAACAGACTTAATCTTAAATATTTAAATGATCATATTATAGGAAGCTAATGTAGCAAACAATTATTCATAGATTAGTAGAATTATTATTGTGTATTGCATTAATATTTTTCAATTGGTTAAGAATAATGATCCAGTGTGTATATGATTTTTCTTCTAATCCAAATTGATCCCAAAAATTAAATAATTGATTATTTCTTGAAACTTTTTTCATGTAGACAATTTAGTCTAAAAAGTGACTGGGTAGAGAATCTTTGATGGGACAAATTAGTCATTTAATTCTTCATGAAACAATTTAATCCCTAAAAAGATAAATTAAATTGGGTGGAGATGAAATTTCGAAGGACTACTCTATCTCATGAAAGAATAAATTAGGGATTATTTGGTAAATTAATTTTTGTATGGATGAAATTGTCACTTAAATGATGATTTTAAGATTTATTTTGAAAATATTGTTTTAGGAATTAAACTTGTTGAAGGAGAAATACTAGTGACTAAAATTTTCACTTGTTGATAGACCATTTTAGGATTAAGTAACTCCTCAAGTTTAAGCACGTAGTATGGTAGAAGTTTAGTGTACTTTGTGTTTGTGAATGGATGATATGTTGCCATCTGCTGAAGGTGATTACACAATCTCACGGAAGCATTGCTATCAAGGAAGAAGAAAGGCTGAAAGACATTGAGGGTTATCAACTATATGGTCAATCATTTAGCTCAAAATGATTTAGTCTCCAATTTCCATATTGCATGAAGATCAAATCATAGTTTTGAATTAGCTGATTTCGAAATGAGTTTATCACATGCATCACTCATATTAACTTTTATTAATCTAATTCATTTTTCCAATCTATGTTGCCATCTCTCCATTATTTGATCAGATAATTCTGCTCATTTGAAGATACATGAGCTATGGTATCTTTTTGTTTTGTCTTAATTCTTGTGGTGTGACTAGAAACATGAGCTATGGGGTACGGCTTGAGATTAGGGCAAATTCTACAACCGATGTTATAAGGCCCAATTCAACAATGAACTTAAGAT